CAGGGGACACAATGTTTTACCCAGGTTCGGGCCCTCTTGATGGAGGCAAAACCCTATGTTCTGCTTGATTAAGATTGATGATATGGGTAGTACAACAGTAGATCTACCACGAGATCAGAGAGGCTAAACCCTAGAAGCTAGCCTATGGTATGATTGTATGTTGTCCTACGGACTAAAACCCTCCGGTTTATATAGACACCGGAGAGGTTAGGGTTACACAAGGTCGGTTACAAAGGAGGAGATACACATATCCGTATTGCCTAGCTTGCCTTCCACGCCAAGTAGAGTCCCATTCGGACACGAGACGAAGTCTTCAATCCTGTATCTTCATAGTCTAACAGTCCGACCAAAGGATATAGTCCGGCTGTCCGAAGACCCCCTAATCCAGGACTCCCACAGCGGGTTTCATCCCGTGTGGGTTGGAGGAGGCAGTGGCGGTCCACATTGCACTCTACCGCTCCTGGGAGGACAATGCCCGGCGGACGGCAGAATCTGTCCGGCGTGACTCCATAGCGTCGGCTCAACGGGCGTTCGGGTCGTTTGGGGTTGGAGGAGGCAGTGGCGGTCCACATTGCACTCTACCGCTCCTGGGAGGACAATGCCCGGCGGACGGCAGAATCTGTCCGGCGTGACTCCATAGCGTCGGCTCAACGGGCGTTCGGGTCGTTTGGGGTTGGATCATCGTGGTCCCGGCAACCGGAAAATCTCTCCATCCCCATCACCAGTCGGGCGAACTATGAGTCCCACCGGGAACGGACGGCCCGCCGTGGGAAGGAGAAGATAAAGGCCGCCGAGACCCGTATCGCGGCGGAAATGTGGCGGCGAAGGCGGCGGAGGCGGCTGATGCAGTGCCGCGGGCAGCTGCAGAGGAGGAAGCCATATGTGCTCGCATTGTGAAGAAACGACAGTGGAGGAACACGCGCGCCCTCGTCCGAGAGCAGAATCAGGCGGTCCGTGCCATATGACCGGACTGCTACCGAAGGAGGAAAAGACGGACAGTGACGGTGAGGATAGCTCCGGCGACGGGCAGATTCAGTGCGGGTTGACTGGGGTGTCATCCCGTGCGGGTTGGAGGAGGCAATGCCGGTCCACATTGCACTCCGCTACTCCTGGGAGGACAACGCCTAGCCGGCGAGAGGATCTGTCTGGCGCGACTCGGGTCCTCTGGGCTGGATCATCGTGGTCCGATATCCGAAAAATATCTCCTTCCCCATCACCAATTGGGTGGACTATGAGTCCCACCGAGAACGGGCGGCCTGCCGTGGGTAGAAGAGGATAAGGGCCACCGAGGCCTGTATCATGGCCGAAATGGCGGCAACGGCTGATGCGGCGGCGTGGGCGGCCACAGAGGATGAAGCCATCTGCGCCCGCATTGTGAAGAAACGACAGCGGAGGAACAAGCGCGTCCTGGCCCGAGAGTAAAATTGGGTGGTCCGTGCCATATGACCAGGCTGCCACCGAAGGAGGAAAAAGCGGACAGTGACGGCAAGGATAGCTCCGGCGACGAGCAAATTCAGTCATGTAAGATTAATGGATACAACACTCTAAATTCTGTATATTTTTTGGGAGTATCTAGAACACATTTAGATGAGATATAATTTGGTCTCATTCACTTTGAAAACAAGAACAAATACAACCCACGTTAGCACACACGCATCTTATAGCATCACATCAAATGGCTATAAAATGTGAATGAGACCAAATTATATCTCATCTAAATGAGTTCTAGCAAAACTGATATTTTTTTCTACTAGCTAGTACTATCTTTCACAAATCTTGCGAATCAAATAAATCAGTAATATACATTCGCTAGATTGTGCGTTGCAGTTGCAGTCAACGTTAACCGGTTGCTTCACTAAAGAAAAGGGATTATTGAACCGTTGAACATACGCAGGGCTGCAGATCGATCAGTTCCCAGAGGCAAACAACTTGGGGGCCAGCTCGAGCAGGGCATCGAGCGCCTCCGGCTTGAACTTGCGTGCGAACACGGCGCACACCTCGGCCACCCCGCCGTTGTAGTAGCAGTCGCCGTAGCCCCGCCTCATCTCCTCGAAGAGCTCCTCGGTGATCTCGCTGCCGTTGTGGCTCTTTGGGTGCTGTCCCACCGGGTGCCGCCAGTCGGCGTAGGTGACGGTCCGGTTGGCGTTGCGGCGGCCCCAGCCCAGCAGGCTCGCCAGCGTCATGGGATAGTGCTCCTCCAGGTTGCGGACGCCGTGCTTGCCGTTCCGGAACACCGGGCCGTAGTAGGTCTCGTCGGAGACGACCTCGAGCGCGAGCGCGCGGTCCATCTCGAACCACTGCGCGCCCTTGCGCCATTGCGCTAGGCTGATGTTGCGCTCGGCGAAGAATTCCCGGTGCCGCGCGCGCCCGTCCCGGCGGTCGAAGCTGTCGACGAAGCTGGTGTTGGATCCGGTGAGGTAGGCGTACAGGGCGGGGAAGCCCAGGATGGGGATGCACGACTCCGACAGCAGCGCGAACCGCGCGTTGGCGACGTCCAGCAGCGCGTTCCCCAGCAGCCGCCGCTCCGCGTCCATCAGGTTGATGTTCCCCCAGCTCGTTCTCTGCATGCATGCATGCATGCACACCGCCGGCTATCAACGACGTCGACTAAGGTCGACGGGGACGACAGATATGAAATGTTAGTTGCGTACCTGGCTCGGGATGATACGGCCGTAGAAGGGGGAGTCGGGCGGCGGCGAGCCGGTGTAGTCGGGGCTGGTGTGCACGTAGATGGAGTAGAGCCCCTCGTGGCCATCGAAGAACTTGTCCCACAGGGGACGCAGCGGCACGTCCCCCCTCACCAGGAACAGGAAGGCCACCTTGGGCACGATCCTGTGCTTCGGCGTGCTCTTGATCCTCGGCACCATGGACGCCCTCCAGAGCAGCTCCTCGTCGGTCATGTTGTGCATGGCGCCGCTGCCGCTCTCCATGCGCCGTCTCTCCGTTGACGGCGTCGGCTCGGGAGGGGGCAACGGTGGCAGGATGCATGGCACCGCTTCCGGCGTTGTCGGGTGGCGTTTGCAGCCGAGAGGCAGGCAGCAGCAATGGCGACAGGAAGTTGTGGACGTAGAAGTTCTCGAAGGTGACGTTGGAGACCAAGCCCAGCACGTATGCCAAGCAGAAGACGAGCAGCATGGGTACGACGGCGACGCGACCGCTGCCGGAACGAGGGGCCGGCGTGGGCTTCTTCATGGCCTAATTGCTAGCCTCGATCGAGCACGCGTGTGAGCTACGGAGAAGTTGATGCTCCGGCCTGTTGGCTATGCTTCCAACGACGTAATTCAGCCTTGGTTTATATGCATGTTAGCACTAGCTTGCTCTTGAAAAAGTATGATTAGATACTCAAAACGCAACTAACACAACAAAGCTGATTTACGAAACAGACATTAAATTTTATCTTGGTACATGTAATATGAATTTATGGCTTTGTACATAAAAATAGAGGGAGTACTAAAACGCAACTAAAACGGTAAATTTCGTGAAAACGGGTCTCGCGCGTGGGTCAGAAAGGGTTCTTGATTAGCTTAACTTCGAACTTGAAAAGCATGGAGTATGATTATTAGTTGAATCTCAGCTTCGTCACATTTTCCAAATTATACAAGGATATTGGAACTTCCTGAACATTTGCTATTAAGCTCGCGCGCCAGTTTTCTGTACATAAAGATGACCGACATCGGACGTTGCTTAATTGTGACCCATGTGATAGCACAAGGTCAATAGCTAGAGGAGACTTGGAAATAACACAAGCATACGGCGAGGAGACGGGGGATCACAGTAAAGGAGATGGGCAAGTAAATTGCGGGAGTGGCTATCCATAGTTGACTAAATATATTTTTGGCTACCAGCTGTCAATCCTCTCTATCCAACCATGCGATCCAAATCGTACGCTCCCAAAAGGTAAAAGCACCACACCATGCGATCCAACCATGTCAACGGCCAAACGCCTGATCGGCCGCCCGTGCCGTCCGATTAGCTCAACTGTTACCCGTTCGATCTGCATCATATTGCCTTTTCTTTTATGTTAAAGTTTCTTTTATGTTAAAGAAAAGGTTCTAGCTCGACTTTATAGATAAAGGCAATGAAGGAGTTCACAAACAACAATCTAAAATCACAAGCATCAATAAATTATGGGCCATATACATGCATAAAATGTAGTGTATCTATACCTACTAATAAAAAGATTAATGTTTTTGCTTGTTCGTCATCAAATTACCCTCGAAGTTGGCAAGAATTAACCATCAATGCCACCCATAAGTGGCAAAAATGATTCACTTTTTATTAAGTGGATGCCGGTTATGTTTGGTTCATGTTATCCCCTCACATTGTCACAAGTGCACAAGCACCCGACTGATAGGTTGTCACTTAGCCATCGGGGACACCTGGGTTCGATCCCAGCTTGGTCCCCCTTTTCTCCCCGACCCTTTTCTCCCCGAATTTCTATTGATAGAGTTGCCTCACCAGATGTCGCTTAGCAGATGGGCTGCACAGTTCAATTGCAACATAACTATTTTCTAACTTTTTTCGCATGTTCAAGAACTTTTTAAAATATCTGTGATGTGCAATAAAAGTAACGCAACCAGGAAGGTGAGAGGCGCTATGTGCGTCGAGTTGCATGCAAAGAACTAGGGTCATTTTGTTCAGACGCAACCATTTTTTCTATTGATCTTCAATTGTGTGAAGAGATGGCCTAAAACACGATTAATAGAACCCTTTTATTGAGATTTTTTCACGACTTGGTGCAAATTTTAGACATTGCTTCAATTTTAAAATAATGCCTTGGTATAAAAGATTTGAAAATTAGGCTATTTAACATCAAAATCAACACACAAAAACCGTACCAAAAGTATTGTACGTGTAGCATGCTTTTAATATACTATTTATATGAATTCCTGCTAGACATTAGTATGGGCCTCTCTGCCGTGGCACCATTCGTATGTCGTTGGACCGTGCTGACTGAAAGATCAATGGACATATCAATTATCTGTCTCGGGCATACAATCTCAGCCGAACCCCATGACCTTAGGAGCCAGCTCGAGCAGCTTGCCGAGCGCGTCCCCGGAGAACTTGCGCGCGAACATGAAGCAGAACTCAACGGCCCCGCCGCCCCCACGGTAGCCGCACTCCCCGTTCCCTCGCCTCATCCCCTCCAGCAGCTCTGCCGTGACGACCGTCCCGCCATAGCTCACCGGGTGCCAGGCTCCCGCCCGCCATTTGGCGTACGTGAGGGTCCGGTTCGCGTTGCGCGCGCCCCAGCCGAGCAGGGTCACCAGTGTCGGCAGGTAGTGCTCTTCCATGTTGGCGACGCCGTGGTGACCGCGGAACACGGCCATGAACCGCTCCTTGGCGACGACCTCCACGGCGATCGCTCGGTCCATCTCGAACCACTGTGACCCCTTGCGCCACTGGGCGAGGCTGACGTTGCGTTGGGTGAAGAAGGGGGCGTGCCGCGCGCCGTCGACGTAGCTGTCGACGAAGCTGGCGTTGGAGCCGGTGAGGAAGGCGTAGACGGCCGGGGAGGACAGGAGAGGGACGCACGACTCCGACAGCAGCGTGAACCGCGCGTTGGCGAGGTCCAGCAGCGCCGTCGCCACCAGTCGCCGCTCCGCGTCCACCAGGTTCATGTCGCCCCAGCTGGTGTTCTACGTGTACAAGGAGATCATCAGGAAGTATAGACGCATGCGGGGATAGCTCAGTTGGGAGAGCGTCAGACTGAAGATCTGAAGGTCGCGTGTTCGATCCACGCTCACCGCATCACCTTTTTTTTTCTTTTGCACGTTACCTGGCTTGGGATCATGCGGCCGTGGAAGACGGAGTCTGCCGGCGGCAAGCTGGTGTAGGCGGGGCTGGCGTGGACGTAGATGGAGTAGAGCCCCTCGTGCCCGACGAAGAACTTCTCCCACAACGGCCGCAGCGGCAGGTCCCTCCTCACGAGGAACAGGAAGGCCACCTTGGGCACGATCCGCCATGGCACGCGGGCGACCCTGGGCACCATGGACGCCCTCCAGAAGAGCTCCTCGTCAGTCCTGTTGTGCATGAGGCCGCCACTCGGCCCGAGGAAGTCCGCGAACCCCAAGCTCGCTGGCGGGGACGGCGTCGGCTGCTGTGAGGGAGGAGAGGGCAACGGTGGGCCGACGGCGCACACTGTCTCCGGGGATGGCGAGGGCGACTGTGAGGGTAACTCTGTCACCGGCGACGGCGCGGGCGCGTGCGGGGGCGGGGGTGACGGCGGCGACGACGACGCGCCGCCGCCACCAGTCCGCCATGGCGACACCGGTCAAGGGTCCACCGGGATGGCTGCATCAAGGAGGAGAAGGCTGACGATGACGACGGTGGTGAGGATGGCGGCGACGACCGGCGACTACTCCGCGTTCAGCCAGTTTCTTTTTTAAATATATTTGCTATGTAAAAAGCCTCGAACATGTCTAATATATGCCAAATTTTGCCGAAATTTAGACGTGTTTAGCCGAACTTTGCCGAACGTTTTCTTTTTTGAAAAAATTTAGACGCGTCTAGGGACGGCCTTAGGGTCGGCGGCTGGGGACTAACTCGCCCCCAGGGCGTTTTTTTGCGTCGGCTTGCCCCTAGGCGGCGATTTTAGGCGCCTCCTGGGGGGCCAACGGCTGGAGATGCTCTAACATTGCTTTCGTCTTGCAAAAAGTTAACAACAACAACAACAAAGCCTTTAGTCCCAAACAAGTTGGGGTAGGCTAGAGGTGAAACCCATAAGATCTCGCAACCAACTCATGGCTCTGACACATGCATAGCAAGCTTCCATGCACCCCTGTCCATAGCTAGCTCTTTGGTGATACTCCAATCCTTCAGGTCTCTCTTAACGGACTCCTTCCATGTCAAATTCGGTCTACCCCGCCCTCTCTTGACATTCTCCGCACGCTTTAGCCGTCCACTATGCACCGGAGCTTCTGGAGGCCTGCGTTGAATATGCCCAAACCATCTCAGACGATGTTGGACAAGCTTCTCTTCAATTGGTGCTACCCCAACTCTATCTCGTATATCATCATTCCGGACTCGATCCTTCCTCGTGTGGCCACACATCCATCTCAACATACGCATCTCCGCCACACCTAACTGTTGAACATGTCACCTTTTAGTCGGCCAACACTCAGCGCCATACAACATTGCGGGTCGAACCGCCATCCTGCAGAACTGGCCTTTTAGCTTTTGTGTCACTCTCTTGTCACAGAGAATGCCAGAAGCTTGGCGCCACTTCATCCATCCGGCTTTGATTCGATGGTTCACATCTTCATCAATATCCCCATCCTCCTGCAGCATTGACCCCAAATACCGAAAGGTGTCCTTCTGAGGTACCACCTGGCCATCAAGGCTAACCTCCTCCTTACACCTAGTAGTACTAAAACCGCACATCATGTACTCGGTTTTAGTTCTACTAAGCCTAAACCCTTTCGATTCCAAGGTTTGTCTCCATAACTCTAACTTCCTATTTACCCCCGTCCGACTATCGTCAACTAGCACCACATCATCCGCAAAGAGCATGTTGGCACTGGTCCCGACGTCGACGCAGCGATCCGCTGATTACTTTCTGGCGGAGCGACGAACGACGAACCAGTGCCAACAATTGGTATCTAGAGCTTTGGTATTGACGTGATTCTCGGAAAGCAATCGAAGGATCATGTCGACCACGGGCAAGGAGATCGTGACGGCGGCAGCGGGAGCACCGATGCCGATGGTGGGGGGATCACAATTTCCCCGTCTGGATCGAGAGGACTACGCACTATGGGCGATGAACATGGAGGTCGCGATGGAGGGAGCTGAGTTCTGGGAAGCCGTCGACCCCGGTGGCGCCGAGTACGCGAAGGGCGCGGCGAAGTATCGGAAGGATTGTCAGGCGTTAACGGCGATCTACTCCGCCATGCCGAAGGATGTGCTGCAACACCTCGTCAGAAAGAACTCGGCGAAGGAGGCATGGGAGACCATCAAGATCCTGCACCAGGGTCATGACCGTGTCAAGGAAGCACACCTTCAGTCCCTGATGAGAAGCTACGAGTGCCTGAAGATGGATGAAAGTGAGACGGTTGATCAGTTTGCCGCCCGTCTCAAGACCCTCGTCAATGGCATACGCAGCTATGGTTCAACCCTTGAAGAAGTTGCGATCGTCCGACGATTTTTACGCGCCGCGCCGGCACGGTACATCCAGATCGTCACGTCGATCGAACAATGTCTCGACCTAAAAACTCTCACGGTCGAGGATCTCGTCGGAAGATTCAAGGCCCACGACGAGAGAATTCGTCTCAGCTTCGGCGATTCGAAGGAGAGTGAGCATCTCATGCTTACAATGGCTCAATGGATGGCCCTGATGAAAGAAAAGCAAGGTGGATCCTCGAGCAGCAGTAAAGCAAAGGAGAAGCAACGCCCGGCGAAAAAGGACTTCGCTGGACAGGAAGAAAAGGCTAGAAAACCAAGGAGAAAATTTGACATAAAGAAAGTAAAGTGTCACAATTGTGGAATCCTCGGTCACTTCAAGTCTGATTGCAAGAATCCATCGAAGGAAAGAGCTCTCATGGCCAAGGGAGGCGATGATAGCGACATGATGCTCATGGTCGAAGTATGCGAGCTTATGGACGAGGAGGGTCCATCTCCAAAGGCGCCGGCTACCGAGGTTGTCACGCTCAATGAAGAGAAGGTTTATCTTCATGACAAGCAGAGGACGAACACGGCGAGACACTTGTGGTACCTCGACACGGGAGCAAGCAACCACATGACCGGTGACAAGGACCAGTTTTCTGAGCTAAATCTCTCGGTGGGGGGCACGGTTCGGTTTGGTGATGGGCGAACCATTGACATCACAGGGCGAGGCACTGTCCTGTTTGAGCTGAAGAACGACGGTCACAAGGTACTCACAGATGTGTACTATATTCCCAAACTAAAGAGCAACATTATAAGTCTCGGCCAGCTTGAGGAGCGTGGTTGCAAGATTGTGCTCGAAGATGGCTATTTATGGGGGTATGACCGTCAGAGGATGTTGATCATGAAAGTGCAGAGGTCGCCGAACAGACTCTACATCCTCCACTTGGATCGTGTGGATCCAGTATGTCCCTTGTCAAGCATGGAAGACTCAGCATGGAAGTGGCACGCACGCAACGGTCATCTAAATTTTCAAGCTCTTCGGCAACTTGGACAAAAGGAGATGGTACGTGGTCTACCGTGCATCGATCATGTTGAGCAAGTGTGCGACGGTTGCCTTGTTGGGAAACAAAGGCGGGCCTCGTTCCCTAGAGAGGGAAACTTTAGAGCAAGTAAAGCTCTTGAGTTGGATTGTGTTGTTGTCGACGACTTCAGCAGATACATGTGGATTGTGTTGTTGAAGACTAAAGATCAAGCTTTGCAAGCCTTCAGGAAAGTAAAGATGGCGGCCGAAGTCGAGTCTGAAGCCAAACTGAAGGCCCTCCGTACCGATCGGGGGGGTGAGTTCAAGTCTCGTGAATTCACGGAATTTTGCGAAGCACATGGGATCAAGCGGTATCTTACGGCGCCATATTCACCGCAGCAAAACGGTGTTGTGGAACGAAGGAATCAAACCGTGGTGGCGATGGCACGAAGCATGATGAAGAGCAAAGGGATGCCGGGCAAGTTTTGGGGTGAGGCGGTCAACACGGCCGTTTATTTGCTGAATCGGGCTCCAACCAAGAGTGTGGTTGACATGACACCGTACGAAGCTTGGTATGGACACAAGCCCGTGGTTGATCATCTTCGCACTTTTGGGTGCGTCGCGCATGTGAAGACGGTGGCCGGGCATACTAGCAAGTTGGCGGACCGGAGTACTCCAATGGTGTTGGTTGGCTATGAAGCGGGCACGAAGGCATACTGTGCGTGCAACCCCTCTAACAATAAGGTGGTTGTAACGCGTGACGTGGTCTTTGAAGAAGCAAGGTCACGGAATTGAAACTCCATCGAGCCGGTATACCCGATCTCTGATGAAATCTTTCACGTCTTTTACAACGATTCTGAGCGTGCAGATAATATTGATCAACCAGACACTTCGGCGGCACGGAGCGATGCTCGAGATGACGACGCGCGGCGAGACGTGTCAGGGAGTTCACCTGTATCTGGTGACATCCCAGGAAGAGACGCTGCGAGCGGCGCTACAGGCAGCAGCAGCAGCAGTGGACAGAGAGCCACGTACCCTGCGCCCGGCAGCCCAGCCAGGTGCGCTGGAGGCAGCAGCGGCTCAGCACCAGGCTCTCCACCAGGGAGTTCTTCCCACGAGCCAGAAAGCCCAGCCGCTTCCCAATCTCCACAATGCCACGTGACAGGAGGTCCAGAAGTGCATGCACGTGAAGCAACTTCAGATTTCGTGGCTGGTTCTTCTGGTGCACGTGCAGATAGCTCAGGAGAGCCCCAATCGCCAGAAAATAGAAGCTTGGCAACTTCAGATGAATTTTCTTCGTCTTCGACAGAACAGGAGACGAGGGAACATCCGCCTACGCCAGTCCGTCTTCGATCAGTGTTAGATTTATATCCGAAGGAAGCACTTCAAAAGGTAAATCCAGTGAAAATTAAAAGAAGAGTACGACAATGTTTGCTAAGCGTCGAGGAACCGACGAAATTTGAAGATGCAAACAAAGAGGAGTACTGGCGTCGTGCTATGGATGAAGAGTTGGGATCGATACGAGACAACAAAGTATGGGAGTTCGCGGATCTTTCCAACGGCCATAAAGCCATAGGGCTCAAGTGGGTGTACAAAGTCAAGAAGGATGCTGAAGGGAACTTGCTGAAGCATAAAGCTCGGCTCGTAGCTAAAGGATTCGTGCAAGAGCAAGGTGTGGACTTCGAGGAAGTGTTCGCTCCAGTCACAAGGATGGAATCGGTGAGGCTAGTTATAGCTCTCGCGGCTCAAGAATCTTGGAAGCTACATCACATGGATGTAAAATCCGCATTTTTGAATGGGAAGTTGAAAGAAGAAGTATACGTGAAGCAACCACCGGGGTACATCAAGGAAGGAGAGGAACACAAGGTGTTGAAGCTACACAAGGCATTGTACGGGCTACATCAAGCTCC